ATACATCAAAGTGCACAGTCTGAATCTTATCATAGAATCTGTTGGGAGTATAAGAGTGAAACTCTTCTTGCACTAACTACGGATCCTCTCTGAGTGCTCTAGAGGAAAATATAAAGATCAAATACTGCATGCACCTTTAAGTAGCTATAGCTGTTTTAGAAGCGTCTTCCTTTCATGCAACATTCATTATAGCAGAAAAGCTACAACCATCCGCCCCAATTCAGCAAAGCATAATTCAAGCAAATGGTACTGAAGCATGGGCTTAAAGTTAAGTATTTAAGGATGCTTTGCTAAATTGATGGCTTTTGGGGTGGTGGTGGGGTTAAAATTAAATGGCTGTGTTTCTTTTTTTAATACTGTCTAAGCATTTAAAAGTTGTCTGAGTTTGTCAAACCAGACCAATGAGTTAGAAAAGAAGATCCGGTAATTTATACTCTTCCTGTAATTTAATCACGGAACAAAGGAATCACTGATGAAGAAATCTACATGGAGAAGAGAACAAGATGTCTTTATTTAACAAGAGGGGGATGTATTGGGGACCTACACATTTAATACCCTCTTCAGTTTTTATAAAATGGCTATCATAAGCATTATTGCTGCTCTCTGTGGCTCTTGTTTTCACAGAACTACCCAACTGGAGTGGGTCTGGATAGTGTAGCTTGAAAGGGCTCTTTGCAACAGTTGTGCTTCTGTCTGAAGCATGGCACAACATTCACAGTAAACAGATGCTAGTTGTGTGGGGCCAGCACAAAGTCTAAAGTAATCATTAAAATTAAATGGTCTAAAATGAGCACTTACAGTTTGTGTGCAGCTTACTGCTCCTTCCTTGGCTGATACTCGATCCTGAATAGCTTTTTGTTTTTTAAGTACAGTTTGTAACTGTATTTTAGAATCTGCGGGGCCTCTGGCTGGACATATTCCAATTTAACATAAAACTACCCAGTAAATCACTCTGGGTCAGCACTTGCCCCATTGACATCAATGGTGTGTTTGCTGTCGCTCTCTGTGACAGCCAAATTGGGCCCCCCTCCCTCAACAAAGTACAAATAAAGTAGTACTGGCTTCACTCCTTTTCAGTGAGCTTTCTCAGCGTAAGGGCAGGTGCTTTGCATGGTGTGGCCGTAGGAGCTAGGCTGAGCCCCTCCGTGGCTGAATGCAGATACTGATGTCTCAGCATCAAAACAAAGACCTGCTTTCAAATTAGCTTGGTAGTATTTTGAACAGACTGTCTCAGTTTTGGGCCTGATCCCTCAAATACTTGCTCATGTGAGCAGAACTTACTCACACATGTAGACCTGTTGACTTCAGTGGGCCTGCTTGTATGCATGAGTGTTTTTAGGATCAGGCGCTTTTTTTCACCATGTATTTACCCAAGTCAGCTTTTTTCCTTGGCTCAGGTTCCACAGCAAAGCTCACAATGCACTTTTGTGCCTGAGAGCTCCCAACATGTGCACATCATAGTCATTCTCACGTGCTTTGCTTTTTTTGCTTACAGTCAGTCTGCTAGAGGCTTTGATTTCCATACATGACTGAAATGATTTAGGTAGCAGACGGTCATTCAGCAACTTGATTGTCATGCAAACAATTGCAAACATTTCTTCTTTTTGGATTAAAAAGAGACCTTTGAAAGAGGATCTGTGTCTGCTCTGCTTGTTAGCTGCACAGGGTTACACCAGTCAACACTGCATTTGTTACAGGGTTTAGGTCTACTATTACCAAGCAGAACGAAGAGAACAGTTATTTTAAGCCCATCACTTTGTCTACAGTAGTTTAAAGAGCAGTGGTAGGCTTTCTGTGATACGTGTTTTAAGCGCTATTGTTTTCACTATTATGCCGTAGCCTTGGGAAAGGAAGTCAATGCTCCCCCTTCGGTTATCAGCCTTTGGTTAGCCAAGTGAACCTCTCAGCTTCCTGCTCAGGACTGCATAATTGGTTTTAGTCTACATCAAAAGGTTCCTAATGAATGACCCAGAGCTGCAACTGAAACATGACTGATTTTGTACAATTCAACCAAAATTCTAAACTAACAAAATCACCCCCATCTAGAAGTGGTCAGTTACTTTGGAATCTAGTTACCACCGCTACAATATTTATGCTGTAAATAATTTATTCATTTATCTTCTAATTTTTTCAAACATCATCTGCACCCTTGTCCCCCTATGCTTCCTGCTTAGCAAGCCCTGAACTTTAGCGACCAATGGGAATGCACTATAAAAATAATTAACAAGTCAGCAGCGTAAATCCTGGAAGCCTTGTTGTGCGGGGTAAACTGAATGTTCAAATTCCACCAAAGTCACTCTTGAATGACCTAGTGTGAAAGTGATTCCTTGTGTGACACAAATTATTACAGGGGAACAATGTTTTTGTAACTTTTTAAAAACTTTTTGGAAACTCTGAAAACAGTTGCTAGGGTTCAGCTCTTTTGCCAAACTTGCTTAGGGTATGTCTACACTACGGAATAAGGTCGAATTTATAGAAGTCGTTTTTTTAGAAATCGGTTTTATATATTCGAGTGTGTGTGTCCCCACAGAAAATGCTCTAAGTGCATTAAGTGCATTAACTCGGCGGAGCGCTTCCACAGTACCGAGGCTAGAGTCGACTTCCGGAGCGTTGCACTGTGGGTAGCTATCCCACAGTTCCCGCAGTCTCCGTTGCCCATTGGAATTCTGGGTTGAGATCCCAATGCCTGATGGGGCTAAAACATTGTCGCGGGTGGTTCTGGGTACATATCGTCAGGCCCCCGTTCCCTCCCTCCCTCCGTGAAAGCAAGGGCAGACAATCATTTTGCGCCTTTTTTCCTGAGTTACCTGTGCAGACGGCATACCACGGCAAGCATGGAGCCCGCTCAGGTAACCGTCACCCTATGTCTCCTGGGTGCTGGCAGATGCGGTACGGCTTTGCTGCACAGTAGCAGCAACCCATTGCCTTCTGGCAGTAGACGGTGCAATACGACTGGTAGTCATCCTCGTCGTGTCCGAGGTGCTCCTGGCCACGTCGGCTGGGAGCGCCTGGGCAGACATGGGCGCAGGGACAAATTTGGAGTGACTTGACCAGGTCATTCTCTTTAGTCCTGCAGTCAGTCCTATTGAACCGTCTTATGGTGAGCGGGCAGGCGATACGGACTGCTAGCAGTTGTACTGTACCATCTTCTGCCAGGCAGGCAAGAGATGAGGATTGCTAGCAGTCGTATTGTACCATCTTCTGCCAGGCAGGCAAGAGATGAAGATGGCTAGCAGTCGTACTGTACCATCTTCTGCCGAGCAGCCATGAGATGTGGATGGCATGCAGTCCTTCTGCACCGTCTGCTGCCAGCCAAAGATGTAAAAGATAGATGGAGTGGGTCAAAACAAGAAATAGACCAGATTTGTTTTGTACTCATTTGCCTCCTCCCCTGTCTAGGGGACTCATTCCTCTAGGTCACACTGCAGTCACTCACAGAGAAGGTGCAGCGAGGTAAATCTAGCCATGTATCAATCAGAGGCCAGGCTAACCTCCTTGTTCCAATAACAACGATAACTTAGGTGCACCATTTCTTATTGGAACCCTCCGTGCAGTCCTGCCTGAAATACTCCTTGATGTACAGGCACCCCCTTTGTTGATTTTAGCTCCCTGAAGCCAACCCTGTAAGCCGTGTCGTCAGTCGCCCCTCCCTCCGTCAGAGCAACGGCAGACAATCGTTCCGCGCCTTTTTTCTGTGCGGACGCCATACCACGGCAAGCATGGAGCCCGCTCAGCTCACTTTGGCAATTAGGAGCACATTAAACACCACACGCATTATCCAGCAGTATATGCAGCACCAGAACCTGGCAAAGCGATACCGGGCGAGGAGGCGATGTCAGCGCGGTCACGTGAGTGATCAGGACATGGACACAGATTTCTCTGAAAGCATGGGCCCTGACAATGCATGCATCATGGTGCTAATGGGGCAGGTTCATGCTGTGGAACACCGATTCTGGGCTCGGGAAACAAGCACAGACTGGTGGGACCGCATAGTGTTGCAGGTCTGGGACGATTCCCAGTGGCTGCGAAACTTTCGCATGCGTAAGGGCACTTTCATGGAACTTTGTGACTTGCTTTCCCCTGCCCTGAGGCGCATGAATACCAAGATGAGAGCAGCCCTCACAGTTGAGAAGCGAGTGGCGATAGCCCTGTGGAAGCTTGCAACGCCAGACAGCTACCGGTCAGTTGGGAATCAATTTGGAGTGGGCAAATCTACTGTGGGGGCTGCTGTGATGCAAGTAGCCCACGCAATCAAAGATCTGCTGATATCAAGGGTAGTGACCCTGGGAAATGTGCAGGTCATAGTGGATGGCTTTGCTGCAATGGGACTCCCTAACTGTGGTGGGGCTATAGACGGAACCCATATCCCTATCTTGGCACCGGAGCACCAAGCCGCCGAGTACATAAACCGCAAGGGGTACTTTTCGATAGTGCTGCAAGCTCTGGTGGATCACAAGGGACGTTTCACCAACATCAACGTGGGATGGCCGGGAAAGGTGCATGATGCTCGCATCTTCAGGAACTCTGGTCTGTTTCAAAAGCTGCAGGAAGGGACTTTATTCCCAGACCAGAAAATAACTGTTGGGGATGTTGAAATGCCTATATGTATCCTTGGGGACCCAGCCTACCCCTTAATGCCATGGCTCATGAAGCCGTACACAGGCAGCCTGGACAGTAGTCAGGAGCTGTTCAACTACAGGCTGAGCAAGTGCAGAATGGTGGTAGAATGTGCATTTGGACGTTTAAAGGCGCGCTGGCGCAGTTTACTGACTCGCTTAGACCTCAGCAAAACCAATATTCCCACTGTTATTACTGCTTGCTGTGTGCTCCACAATATCTGTGAGAGTAAGGGGGAAGACGTTTATGGCGGGGTGGGAGGTTGAGGCAAATCGCCTGGCTGCTAGTTACGCGCAGCCAGACACCAGGGCGGTTAGAAGAGCACAGGAGGGCGCGGTACGCATCAGAGAAGCTTTGAAAACCAGTTTCATGACTGGCCAGGCTACGGTGTGAAAGTTCTGTTTGTTTCTCCTTGATGAAACCCCCCCGCCCCTTGGTTCACTCTACTTCCCTGTAAGCTAACCACCCGCCCCTCCTCCCTTCAATCACCGCTTGCAGAGGCAATAAAGTCATTGTTGCTTCACATTCATGCATTCTTTATTCATTCATCACACAAATAGGGGGATGACTACCAAGGTAGCCGAGGAGGGGTGGTGGAGGAGGGAAGGAAAATGCCACACAGCACTTTAAGCACAGCACTTTAAAAGTTTACAACTTTAAAATTTATTGAATGACAGCCTTCTTTTTTTTGGGCAATCCTCTGTGGTGGAGTGGCTGGTTGGCCGGAGGCCCCCCCACCACGTTCTTGGGCGTCTGGGTGTGGAGGCTATGGAACTTGGGGAGGAGGGCGGTTGGTTACGGAGGGGCTGCAGTGGCAGTCTGTGCTCCAGCTGCCTTTGCTGCAGCTCAACCATACACTGGAGCATACTGGTTTGGTCCTGCAGCAGCCTCAGCATTGAATCCTGCCTCCTCTCATCACGCTGCCGCCACATTTGAGCTTCAGCCCTGTCTTCAGCCTGCCACCTCTCCTCCCGGTCATTTTGTGCTTTCCTGCACTCTGACATTATTTGCCTCCACGCATTCGTCTGTGCTCTGTCAGTGTGGGAGGACAGCATGAGCTTGGAGAACATATCATCGCGAGTGTGTTTTTTTTTTTCTTTCTAAGCTTCACTAGCCTCTGGGAAGGAGAAGATCCTGTGATCATTGAAACACATGCAGCTGGTGGAGAAAAAAAAAGGGACAGCGGTATTTAAAAAGACATTTTATAAAACAGTGGCTACACTCTTTCAGGGTAAACCTTGCTGTTAACATTACATACATAGCACATGTGCTTTTGTTACAAGGTCGCATTTTGCCTCCTCCCACTGCGTGACTACCCCCTCAACCTTCCCCCCACCCTGTGGCTAACAGCGGGGAACATTTCTGTTTAGCCACAGGCCAACAGCCCAGCAGGAATGGGCTCCTCTGAGTGTCCCCTGAAGAAAAGCACTCTATTTCAACCAGGTGACCATGAATTATATCTCACTCTCCTGAGGATAACACAAAGAGATAAAGAACGGATGTTGTTTGAATGCCAGCAACCATACACTGCAATGCTTTGTTCTACAATGATTCCCGAGTACGTGTTACTGGCCTGGAGTGGTAAAGTATCCTACCATGAAGGACGCAATAAGGCTGCCCTCCCCAGAAACCTTTTGCAAAGGCTTTAGGACTACATCTAGGAGAACCGCAAATGCCAGGGCAAAGTAATCCTTTCACATGCTTGCTTTTAAACCATGTATAGCATTTTAAAAGGTACACTCACCAGAGGTCCCTTCTCCGCCTGCTGGGTCCAGGAGGCAGCCTTGGGTGGGTTCGGGGGGTACTGGCTCCAGGTCTAGGGTGAGAAACAGTTCCTGGCTGTCGGGAAAACCGGTTTCTCCGCTTGCTTGCTGTGAGCTATCATCTTCTTCGTCCCCAAAACCTGCTTCCGTATTGCCTCCATCTCCATTGAAGGAGTCAAACAACACAGCTGGGGTAGTGGTGGCTGAACCCCCTAAAATGGCATGCAGCTCATCATAGAAGCGGCATGTTTGGGGCTCTGACCCGGAGCGGCTGTTCGCCTCTCTGGTTTTCTGGTAGGCTTGCCTCAGCTCCTTCAGTTTCACGCGGCACTGCTTCGGGTCCCTGTTATGGCCTCTGTCCTTCATGCCCTGGGAGATTTTCACAAAGGTTTTGGCATTTCGAAAACTGGAACGGAGTTCTGATAGCACGGATTCCTCTCCCCAAACAGCGATCAGATCCCGTACCTCCCGTTCGGTCCATGCTGGAGCTCTTTTGCGATTCTGGGACTCCATCATGGTCACCTGTGCTGATGAGCTCTGCATGGTCACCTGCAGCTTGCCACGCTGGCCAAACAGGAAATGAGATTCAAAAGTTCGCGGTTCTTTTCCTGTCTACCTGGCCAGTGCATCCGAGTTGAGAGTGCTGTCCAGAGCGGTCATAATGGAGCACTCTGGGATAGCTCCCGGAGGCCAATACCATCGAATTGTGTCCACAGTACCCCAAATTCGAGCTGGCAACGTCGATGTAAGCGCTAATCCACTTGTCAGGGGTGGAGTAAGGAAATCAATTTTAAGAGCCCTTTAAGTCGAAATAAAGGGCTTCATTGTGTGGACGGGTGCAGGTTTACATCGATTTAACGCTGCTAAATTCGACCTAAAGTCCTAGTGTAGACCAGGGCTTACTGAGTATAATCAAGACTGCAGGTTTATACTGAGATCACCACAACATGTAGGCTTTACATGATGTTACTCATATAGTTCTATTTCAATAGGGTACATGAAATGCCAGGTGTTTTGTTTTTTTGAGGTTGAGGTTAAATACAAAGTAAGGAAAAAATGGACAATATTCTAATTTAACAAGGTTCTAATGTAGTTTGAATGTTTTCAATAGGAGCTCTGTTTTTTTAAAAAAAACATCTTTTGGGATGGGTGGGGAAATGTATTACATTTATAGTCATTACTTTCTCTACACATAGTAATATTATAACAAGCATCGATTAGATGAGCAGGAGTCAAAAAGGGATTGGACATCTATGCAGCTAGCAATAACTTTCAGAGTTACAATAGCAAGCATTGGGAAAAAAGTTTTGGAAGGGTTACAACCTTCATGCTTCAGGGCATAAATCAACAGTTAAATAATGGGAGTCAGGAAGAAACTTTTCCTGTGAGTAGATTATCCCAAACTGCAGCATTTCATCTGGAGTACTGTGTCCAGTTTTGGGCCCCACACTACAAGAAGGATGTGGAAAAACTGGAAAGAGTCCAGCGGAGGTCAACAAAAATGATTAGGGGACTGGAACACATGATTTATGAGGAGAGGCTGAGGAAACTGGGATTGTTTAGTCTGCGGAAGAGAAGAATGAAGGAGGATTTGATAGCTGCTTTCAACTACCTGAAAGGGGGTTCCAAAGAGGATGGATCTAGACTGTTCTCAGTGGTAGCAGATGACAGAACAAGGAGGAATGGTCTCAAGTTGCAGTGGGGGAGGTTTAGGTTGGCTATTAGGAAAAACTTTTCCACTAGGAGGGTGGTGAAACACTGGAATGCGTTACTTAGGGAGGTGGTGGAATCTCCTTCCTTCGAAGTTTTTAAGGTCAGGCTTGACAAAGCCCTGGCTGGAATGATTTAGTTGGGGATTGGTCCTGCTTTGAGCAGGGGGTTGAACTAGATGACCTCCTGAGGTCCCTTCCCACCCTGATATTCTATGATTCCCTACACCTTTCTCTGAAGCATCTGGTGCTGTCCACTGTTAGAGGCAAGATACTGGATTAGAGGGACTCCCTCGTTTGTTCTAACATGGCAATTCCTTTGTACAAAATCAACATGTTTTCAAAATAATCCCCGAGGAAGTGATGCTTATAACAAAAGAGGGATGTCTTTTAGTGTTTGAGAGATCTGACCATGCCTCATCCACAGAAACTTGATGCATCTGCCTGTCACTCATTTTGTGTTACATATCTACGCCAGTAAGGAAGTTCCAGATGCATCTCTTAGCATTTATTTTATTTTTGTTTGTTACACTTTCGTAGGTTTACTACAGTATCACCAAATGACTCTTAACCCTATTTCTACTGCTTTGATTTTATAATCTTTCATGTCATGGAAAAATACTAAAAGACCAAGCAACAAGTGCAGACTTTTACATCTCATGATTGGTCATTGTCAGCCATCCCAAAATGTTTAGATTTTCACAAGTCTCATAGTACCACAGTAATACAGTTGCCAGCACAAGCTGTTACTGGGATGACAGAATTTTCTGCCAGGCTATTCTTTTACCCAAATCGAAAGTTTGGCTATCCTAAAAACACACTGCAAGTTCCATCTCTTTGCAATAGCCTTCCTGACATGACATAAAAGACAAAGAGATGCTAATGCGGTGGCAGAGCTGAAAAAGGAGAACGGGAATTGCTCCTGGAACCTATCAGAAATAAAGAGGGAAATCCACTGGAAGTTCAGCAGGGACAAGGCTTTGTAGATAGGTCTTCATCCAGGATAAAGAGTTGAAGTTTCCTAGTGAACTGGAGGTGGAAGAAGGCATTTTTAGACACGGACACTACCATAAATAAATATTAATAGATCACTTGCAAATCCCACTTCACCAAGCAGAGGTGACACATGGGGCGGGGCATGCAGGCATCACGTGCCACCCCATTTGCTGCTTGGCTTGTACTGAGCATGCTCACATGGACTGAGCATGCTCAGTAATACTGTTGAAGCCGACTGCTTTCATTCTGCCCTCCCACTATCGGCAGGCATGTGTTGTCTCTGTCACCAAGGCATTAGGAGCTGGTTGGTGCCTGTGGTGGATTACTGTATGGGCTGACAGGGCCCAGGCCCAGGGGCCTCAGCCAATTTGGGGGCCCCACAGGAGTGCCGGCACTCTGGTCCCAACCCCTGCTGCTCCTCCCCCCATGCCCTGCTCCTCTCTTCCCCAGAGACCCAACCCCCACCAGGCCAGAAGACGGATGGAGTAGAGTGTGAGTGAGTATATTCCCCCTGCCCTCCTGTGTGCAGAGCTGGTGCAAGCCCCCTCTACCCTCAGACCCTCCACCCGGGGCCTGGCTGAGCCCTCTCTCCCTCCCCCCCCCCCCAATGCCCACATGGAGCCAGGCCAAGCCCCTTTTCCCTTCCCCTGCCCCAGACCGCCACGCAGAGCCCGTCCGAGCCCTCTCTCCTTTCCCTCTTCCTTCCCGCAAGGAGGCAGCCCAAATCGCTTGCCCAAGCCCCTTCCTCCCCCGTGGAGGGCTGGCCCAAGCCCCACTGCTCACCCTGCTCAGCCCCTTTTTGGCAAAACTTAGCATTTGTGCTGTTTGCGCTTGACAACTGGTGATCAGTTGGCAAGAGCAAATGGGACAAATGCCCAGATTTGACAAAAAAGTTAGAACATCCAAGGCCAAAAGGGAATGTATGGTTACCTTAGGCCAGGGGTCTCCAAACTTTTTCAGCTGTCCCCCCAACCTGGTCCGTTGAAGCCAGAGCCGGGAGTGGGAACCGGGGATTGCGGTGGGGCTGTGGTCAGGAGCCAGGAGTGGGGCCAGAGGTGTGGCTGGGGTGTGGCCAGGAACACAGCCATGGCTGGGGCTGGGGGCAGGGCTCGGGTGGGGCCACAGCAGAGCTGGGGAAAGAGCAGGGCTGGGTGGCACTCCCTCCCCCCACCCGTGGGAGCTGATCCAGGCCCCACCACTCACCCCTGAATGTTCCTCCATGTTCCCCTAGGGGGGCACTCCCCACAGTTTGGGGCTACTGTCCTAGGCTGTGGCAAAAGCCACCCAGGGAGTCTGGGCAGCTGTGGGGAGCCCATGACCCTGCACCTGCCCTGGGCAGGCGACCAGGGTGCCCAAGAGCAGCCCCTGCCCTATGTCCCTCAGGGTGTTCCACCCAGGGCAGATGGAGGGTCCAGGGCTCCCCACAGTGGCCCGGGCTCCCTGGATAGCACTTACTATGCTCCCCGGCTTCCAGCCAGGCCAGGGGCTGGGGCCTTGGAGGAAGGGGAGGAGCAGGGGACAGGGCTATGGTGGAGAGGGATGTGCCCAGGGCCCCAGTAAATCTTAATCCACCTCTGGTTGGCACAACCCCAAAAGCAAGCTGGGCTAAATGAGTGGCACGGCAGCTGGATTGGCATAGGAGCATTCAAAAATTCTTCTGGGTTGGGTTTAGGGCAGCATGTTTCCTAATGTAAGGAACAATCTTGACGTTAGTATCCTCATTCTAGGATCCTAGAAGTCTGGGGCACAATAGCACTGACTAGAACTGTTTCATGTCTTCTGGGCTTCCCTCAACCTATTTTATTACCTGCATAATAAATAGTCTTGGACTTCTTATTCCAAAGTGAGATAGAAACAAGACTTTGTATATAGTTCTGTGACTGTGTGACAGGCGTCGGTCAGTCCTCCAAGCCCCTAGGGGCGATGGAGAGCAATAGTCTCTGTGGCAGGCCTCGGTCCCACCTCCCGGGCATTGGGGAATTAGCGGGCAGGGGAGCGCCGGCGAGAGTCAGTGGCGCGCCCCTCGGGCAGGGGAGCACCGGCGTAGGGGAACGCAGGGCCACCCAACTCCACTGTGTTCCAACCCAGGGCCCTGACAGTGGCGGGAGGCGAAGGTCCCGCCGCTGGGTCAGCGGGGCAATCCGCACCCACTGACCAAACACACCCACCCCACGGTGTAGTTGGGCCCCTGGGCTACTTCCTACCCGGTCTCTCTCAGGTGGGTTGCTCCGGTCCCTCCATCTCCTCCGGGTAGTCCGCTGCGGGCCACCCCTGCTCCCCCTCGGTATCAGACTCATGCTGGCCCGGGCTGCAATCAGGCCCCTCCAGGTCCTCTGGGTATTCAGCAGCCAGCAGCCCTGGCTGCCACAGGCCTTGCCCAGGGCTTCAACTGGGTCAGCAGCAGGATCACAAGCCTGTGTCTGTCTCCCTCCCTGGTTCTCTCCTCAGTGGGCAGAGGGCCCCGCCCTTTGTACTTCCTGTCCCACCCTTCCCCTTCCGGGGATTGGCAGAAGCTTGGCCTGGCCCCGCCCACTCAGGCTCAGAGGGTGGCTCCCTACAGACTGCAATAATTACATCAAAAATAAACCTGACTCATTTCACTGCTCTTCCAAACGGAAACAACCCCATGTAAGCAGAGTCTGAATGAGCTCTTCCCTGACATCTAGTGTTGAGCTGTGAAAAGGACTTCAGGAGCTGATCTCATTTGCATTGGCACACCCACCCTGCTTAGGTGCTCAGCATGATGGGATTGCTTGCCCAAATGGCCACTTTTGGCTGGTGTGGGATTCCCAGTTTCCTTGTTATTGGGGAAGGAGTAATAAAGGGTTGTTATTATTGTTGTGTGAATCAAGGGCAGCAGAACTGTACTTGGCATTTCCAGATTGAGGGACTCACCCACAACTAAATGACACTCACTAGGCAGGGGACATGGGTTCCATAGCTCAGTGAGGAGGAAGGGGGGAGCAGAGCTTGTATGTGGCAGTGCAGGGGCTTTGTGTAAGGGTCCCTAGATATCATTTGTCCTGTTCTCTCTCTACTGTGTAATAACTAGAGTTAATTTAGACTCAATTGACAGTCTTGTTACATGTTGTAGAGCTGAAATCACTGATATTAGACCTTCTCTGGGACACTGTCTATGATGTGAGAGACTGCTTAGGGTGCATCAGCAATGAGGCTCCCCCACTAACAGCTGAAATCACTAAGTGCTGTGTTAAGTCCACCTGTGGAATGTCTTCCCTGAGGAGGGTGTGAAGGCTAGGAATATAACAGGGTTTAAAAGAGAACTGGATAAATTCATGGAGGCAAAGTCCATTAATGGCTATTAGCCAGGATGGGTAAAGAATGGCATCCCTAGCCTCTGCTTGTCAGAGGGTGGAGATGGATGGCAGGAGAGAGATCACTGATCATTATCTGTTAGGTTCACTCCCCCTGGGGCACCTGGCATTGGCCACTATTGGTACACAGGATACTGGGCTGGATGGATCTTTGGTCTGACCCAGTATGGCCATTCTTATGTTCTTAAATGGTGGGCCCTGAAGACATCTTGGTGAGTGGCTGGTGGAGAGGCATGGTGAGCGGTCAGCAGGGTGTCTGGTAGAAAGGTGTGGCTGGCAGAGAGGTGCAGCCTTATTGGGGGGGCTGGTGGAGAGATGCAGCAAGTGGCCAGCAGAGAGTGGCGGCGAATGAGGGCCTGAGCAGCAGAGCGAGTAAGGTGCCTTGTTATCCTCCTCCCCCCCCCGTTCCACCAGGGTGGGAGGTGGACTCTGCAGATGCACCTCTGAACTCTGGGTCTGCACTGTCCAAGGACAGCAATTGTGAGTGGGTGCAGAGAAGGGACAAGCATGTTAAAGGGACTTTTGGGTTCCTGGACTTAAGACCCTGAGGGGAAAAGGACACTGCCTAACTTACTTGGTGGTGGGTTTTTTGCTCATGATTTATGTTTATAAACCCTGTTTGTAGTGTTCCCCCAAATTAATGCTGCATTATTTCCCTCCTTTTATTAAAAGTTTTGTGCTACACTCAGACTCTGTGCTTGCGAGCGGGGAACTATTGCCTCTTAGAGGGGCCCAGAGCGTGGTGTGCGGAGGTGAAAG